CACACACACACACACACACACACACACACACACACACACACACACACCACAAACACAAAGGAAGAATAATAGATCTAAATCTCTGAAAATAAACCCTGTGCTGATCCTTGTGGTGCTTTCTTTGTTTTCTCTTACTATCCAGGCTTTCAAGCCATGGATGTGCATGAGAATATGCAGCCAATGGTAGGTTTGACTGTGTCACCAAGTCTAAATGTAGGGAAGCTTGCACCCATGGAATTAGGGACAGGGAGGCTCCATTTTGGAACAACCTGCAAAATTTTGTGTTTTTTTTTCCCCCAAAAGAAAAACTAGATAGGAAGAAGTCTTTCAAACATCTCTCATGGAACCTAACTGATTAAATGAACGTTTTTTTTTTTTTGTTTTTGTTTTTTAAGTAGGGAGAGATATTAAGAGGGGAAAGAGAAGCTGGGCAATGAGGTTGGACAGCAGGAAGGACTTAGCTAGAGCTTAGAAAGAAAGGTCTGTGAACTTTAATTTTAATTAAATTCTATGTCCCTCACCTGCCCAAATTCTCAACTCCATTTTCCATTGGGTTAGCACAGGACAGCTGAGAAAGGTGTAGACACGGTCCTGCCCCCTTGATGGAATCTCAAATCTTGTCATGCTACACTAAATGGTACCAATTAGTGGCTCTGCTCAAATGCCACAAGCTGTTTCTTTCCGGAAAATCCCCTAATGGCCAAATCAACATAACATCCAACCAGCAAGAACATGAATTCATTGTCTTGATATGTCAACCAAGCCTGTTAACTAGACTCCCAGCAGAACACAGGACCCTTTGATAACACTCAATCACACCACTGTTGGGCACACTAGAAGCTTCTTGTACCTGTCAGCAGTCACAATGACTAGCTTTGAGACAACTAATCCAAACAAGGAATGGACAATAATAATACAAAATTATTTGGCTTGGACTTAGTGTTTACCGGATAACATGTGTTTGTACTGAACGTGCTGAGCAGTTGCTTTGAGATATATCTCAGGATATTATTTCCAAATGGTTAAATTCGGCCTATGCCTTTTTCTTCTCCATCTTCAAGCATGATTTTATACTCCAGATGTAGGATGTAGGATATGTAGAAAGTTTGAAGGGTCACTTCTTTGGGGATAAGAATAACAACAGATTATAGTAAGAAGTGTTAAAAATAACTACAAGAGTTGTAAGATTTTTTGACTTGCTCACTTCCACACCCACAAACCTTCTTCTTAAGTAAGTACAGAATTTTCAGGAGGAGAAAGAGTGGGTACAGGCTTGAGGATGGTTGAAATGCTGCATTCTTTTCAATTCCCACAACATATCTAGAAACGGGGGGGGGGCCGCGGGGGAGGAAGGGTCCCAGATCCCCTTCCTCATTTTATTTTCTTAAAAAAAAATAGCCTGTTGTGGGAAAAAGAAAGATGCTTTAGGTAGTATTTGCTCAGGCTTTACTGGTTTGGGAAGAAAATAAAGCCATGTTTACTGGCTTTGCGGTTTTCGATTTTTATATACCATTGCACATGTTAATTAATCTCATCCCTTCTCTCCCTCAACTAGCCAATAAAGTAGGACCCCAGTAGATAAACTTTCAGTCTCCTGTCTGTTGGAAGAACTTCCTCAATACTACCTGAGAAGGAAAGGGGGATTTTAAAACACATGAGGAGAGATCCTTTCTCCTTCACCCATAATAGCCTCCTCTATGATAGTGCAACCTCTATGTCCAGAATACAACACCTGGCTAGAGTCGAGTTAGAGTGGAGATGTTCTGACAGGATAAAGTACATAGTTTCCCTCAACCATCCAGCCTCATAATCATTTTCCATATTGAAAAAGACCTCTGTATGACCCTGGTTATTCTTCCTTTCTCCTTCTTCTGGATCCTCTAGTTGAAACTCAGGCATTTCTGGCCTTTTTTTTGTTATATTCTGCTTAAGCCCACAAGAGGGTTACCTTTAAGCCAGTATGTCTGCTACTTCACTTGAGAATTTCTCATTAGTTCAGAGTAATGGCTTAGGAAGAACAAGGTCTTCTGTTGCTAAGAATCCAATGTTTCAGGTTGTAAGCCTCTTGGGTTGTTTCATACTCATAGCATCCCCCATGAGCTTGCACGAGATTGGAAATATATTAGGAATTTGGTAAATGTTTACTCAGGTAGCTTGCTACAGGTTTACTATTTGGCCCTACCACAATTTGAAGGCCGAAACTTAATTTACAACGTAATGCAAATTGGAAATATAAAGCCTTGGAGAGATGATAAGAGCATGAGAATGGGCCTCTCAGAAGGACACAATAGAAAAATAGCTTTCTATGAACCAATAAATGAGTCCTCACCAGGCAATATATATGCAGACACTTTGATCTTGAACTTTCCAACCTCTAGAACTGTGAGAAATAAGTTCTGTTGTTCATAAGCCACCTATAGTTTTTCATTATAGCAGTCCTGATGGGCTAGGACACAGCTGAACAGAATTAAGCAACCCAAGCAGATACTAGAGGCAGTTACAACACCCCATATAGCTTAAGAGAATGGAGCCACGTATGGAAGCCATCATAAAAATCCATTCCTCTTTAATGATCCTAATAGAGTACTAGTTTGCTGGGGAAGATCGTATTCTGCTGTTAAAGGCTGGCCCCGGGGCATTGCTTGAGATATCCCAAGGATGTAAATGCTGCATGGAGTCATTGCTTCAGCCACCAGCTGAGCCTCTGCAGACACAGGTCTGACAAGATGCTTTTCCCTTTGTCTCAGCAACTGCAATTCTTCCTTTTAAACTATGCAATAAACCACAAGAATTGTGAACCAAAAAAATGCTCAAGTGCACTTATATATTCCTGTGCTTTTTCTCTTCTTCTTTTTCTTCTTCATATTATTATTGTTTATAATTTATTCGCTTTGTATTACAGTTATAGCCCCCTCCCTCATCTTTTCTGGGTCCCACCTTCCCTCACTCTAGCTCCTCTATCCCTCTTCCCTAGCCCACTGATGGGGGAGTCCTCCTCCCCTATTGTCTGACCCAAGCCTATCAGGTTCTATCAGGAATCTGCAGCACATACACTGAAATTGGAATGATACAGAGACGATTAGCATGGTCCCTCAGCAAGGATGACACACAAATTCGTGCTTTTTCTCTTAGTCAATGTGTATCTTCCCATGAAGGCATGGGCTTTCTCAGTTACGCTGTGTAGCTGCTGTGCACTCAAGGATTCCATTACCATATCTTGTCCTTTCAAAACTTCTTAAGACAGAAAGTGACCCATAGCCTGATATTTAAGTTGTCTGGAGAACTTGCCCAACGACTACAATTTAGATCTCTCTCTAATTCCAATCTGTTTGTTATTTTGCTTAAAATGCAAATTTTAGTATTTTTGTACTTTAAACATCTTAACCACTTTGCTCACTCTGGTGAGTGTTATATTTATTCTGCTGTCTGCTGTTTAGTTTAAATTACCCTTTGCTTAGTGTAATTCTGTGTCTTCTGGCAATAATTCAGCTAAAGACCAAATCACTTTTTGTCTTCTTCAGTGTTCGTACCTTTCACACTCTTGCACCCAATTATTATGCTCCCCTTTAGTCTCTGTTTATTCAAGTTTATTCAAGTCTCTGTTTATCCATTCCTTTAATATGTCTTCATGAGTCAGAAAGAGGAACCCAGAGCTATGGCAAGAGGGAACCATTCTCTTTGGCATTTTCCAGTGTAGAGGCAATGCAGCTAGAAATAGCACATATTAGAGGGTACCAGGTGTTGTGCTTAGGACAATATCTGCTTTGGTGAAATTGAGTTTACAAAGTCAACTAGTCCTTGTAAGCAAACAGTCATTTGCAACTAAGTACACTTCTATGAAGCTTCTTACCCTCTTTCCTTCTTTCTTCACCCACTTCCTTTCTTCCTCCCTTTCTTCCTCTCATATGTGCGTGCACACGCACATACACATACACACACTGAGACACTGAGACACAGGCACACACACACTACTATGGAAATTCACTAGCCCTCTAATATTTACTCAGTAAACACAGTAGGCTATTTTTAATTATTTTCCCTAGGAAAAGACAACTTCTCTTCTGTTTGACATAAAACAATATATCTTAAAGGCCTTCTACCTTATTACTCATTATGAGATGTGTAATTCTTTTGCACTATTTGAAATTCAACAAGTACAACAGCTCATGAAACTTGATAATTCTGAGTGTTTGTGGACTTAATTCAGAGGACTCTTGTCTGTTTAGAAATATACAAATCATTTATTTCTGAGCTCCATGACAAGTCTTAAAGCAACTTAGCAGGTCTATCTTTCCTTAAGGAAAAAATGTGTTTGAAATGACATTCCCTTTAATCACCTAAATTTGAATATTTACGTATAAGTGGTTGTAAACACATTAGCTATAAACCCAACACATACAGAGTTTAATGAAAAGCAAAGAACTGAAATTTATTTTGTAGGGTATGTGTGTATTTTATGAGTCTTGTGTTTGGCGAGGAGAACAAAGACAGCAGTGGCTGGCTATGAACTTACACGCAAGAGGAAAAGTATCACAAATCAGTGATGCCATTTGAAGTTTCCTGGGTGAACTTCAAATGCCATAAGAAGCATCCATCCAAGTATCTGTTCTTACAGTTCCTTTTGTGTTTTCCCTTATCTTATTTTTAATTCCCGAGGATACGCTTGCTTATGCATTCCCATTTTGGCTCTTTCTCTACATTTCTACACAGCACACTCCACCCAAAAATGTTAAGAAAAGGAAGAGTGAAAGGACACATAAATTGACAGGATGCCTGCATCGGGTTTTGCTTCTATCTCTAGCGTGTGTGTTTCTCTCTGGGCCCTTTCAAGTTTTTGTTCCTCAACTTCATATTCCACCTGAGAGACCCTTTGGTACTTGACAATGTTGCTACGCTAATGTGGAGACCACTTCCCATCCACACTTCTCTACTTGGAGAGGGGGTGCTGAGTGACTGAAGGAAGCAGCAATCAGGAGGGAATAAGGAACAGGGTGATGGGTTGAAGGCAATGAAGGGAAACCAGCAACCACGTGGACTGGATATTTTAGAGATGATTCGGATTCTGAGGAAGTGTTAGACAAACAGAAGGAAGAAGGGAGAGGGCTCTCTGAAGAAGTGTTTGCCGATTAAGATGTTTGGATTGTGTGGACAGGAAGGAGTGGGTTACTCTGAGAGAGCAATGTTCCTTATTTGAATAGCAAAGAGCAGGGTGTGGAGCATGTAAAATGGCTTCATGCCTTCTGCAGCCCCCTGGAAGGACAAAGCCAGGGGAGAGTCACAACTGGCTTTGCCTCAGCTGAATGAGCTTGGGCCAAATAAGAACACTCCAGCATTGTTTTCTCTGGCACCCAAAGAGATCAAATTCATTCCTAAGTGCATCTTTGCTTTCACACACAATATCAGCTAGCTGACATTGTTTAAGCTCAGCGTCCCAGCTGGGCCCGCCATCCACACATCCTTTCCAGCCTCTGGTCTTGAAATTTTTTTTTACCTCGTGCACACTAGTATACTGACATTGGTGCTTGCTATTAGAATAAAATCAAGACCATCTATATTTAGCTCTCTATAGGATATTTGAAAATTGCTGTGGTAATACTGTATACTCCACATTGTGCTTTATACAATGCAGGATATTGCCTGATGGACCTGCCAGGGCCCAGCCAAATGTTGGACCTTACTGAAAGTTCATGAAATAGTACAGATTTGAGGCATGAGTTTAAGGCAGGGAGGTCCAGAAGACCTTACACAAAGGCTGCAGAGCTGGCATATGAGAACACTCTGTTAGCAAAGAGGAGAACCTCAAGCTGAGGCTGGAACTGAGATGCAATGGTCCAGATGCAGAGGCATTCTAGAGAGTCTGAGGGTGGCCTGGAATTATAACACTGAAAAGCAGGCCCCTAGATGGAGATTTAAGATGCTAGTGAGGGATGAGGATCTATGGCCGTCGTAGAGCACTTGTCTGGCATTCTTAAAGTCCTGGATTCAGTCTCCAGCACAGCCACAAAGAAAAAAGGAAATACTGATATTCTGAGACTGGAGAGATGGTCCAGTAGCTTAGGGCACTTGTTGCTTTTTCAGAGGACCTGAGTTCAGTTACTAGCATCCGTGCTGGACACGTCACAACCACTTGTAATTCCAGCTTCGGGTAATCCAATACCCTTCACATGCCTTCGGGGGCATCTATGTGTAAATACAAGCATACCCACAGACCCACACATGTCAAAATCAAACAAATTTTAAAACAAAGATGCTACTGAGACATAAGCATGCATGAAGCTGTATGTGGAACTACATATGACAGACAGGGAAAGTGCAAGAAAGCCAGAGCTATCACCCCAAGGCCCATGTTATGTGACAAGAGCTCTGTCCTTGTGCAGTGGGCACTGAAGAACTGCCACCCCTTTTTCTGCTCAGCTCCTCTTCCTCCTCTGGAAGTGTATTCTTTCCTAAAAAGCCCCCCCGCTCCCCATATTACATGCTACTCTTCATTTTTCACTGTCCAATTTTTATTTTGGACTTCACTAAAGGAATTCATTAGACCCAGATATCAGAACGGTTATTGAATGAAATGCTGCTTAATACTTGCTTAAGAATGTGCTAATATATTGAGCTATAATGATCAATATATTATATATATTGGTCAAGATGTATCATATCAAGTCATGGTGTCTTTAGCATTACTTTAAGATCTAGAACACAGGCTTAGAGTGGTGTAGGAAGTTGCCTAAGTTCATAATGCAAGAGAGAGCTGATGTTTCATACAGATCTGTGAGGTTCTGAAGCTCATGATCAAAATTAAGCATAGCTATTCTTTATTTTGTCGTTTTATATTGCTGAGGAAAGCTAGAGTTTGCTTGGTTCATAGCTTTCTGAATCTGGTGAATTTTCTCCTCCAGCGCATAAAATAAGAGGGTGAGTACAGGGACTAGGGAGTCTGCAAAGCAATGGAATTTTGTTACATATGCTCAGCCTTCATCTGTACACTTCAGTTAACCTCTTTACTGGGAGAATCAAACAAAGCAATAACTGTGAAAAATGGCATTTGAAAATTTGGCCTTGCTCATCTATTTTTAGAAGTTCCTCCATTAGTATTACAAACCACTGGCACATGAAAATGCCAACACCAACCAAGCAAAGGAGCCATGGAAGCCTCAAGCAATGAGCTTACCACGGGCAAGAAGGAGATTCCAGGGGAAATGAGCTTTCTGGAAGTCAACAGACAAAGGCATGAGAGTCAGCAGGCAAACTAGAAAGAAAATGGCCTGAAATGCAGATCCTCAGGTAAGAGAAAGAAGGGCCTAGATGAGAGGACACTCACACTCACAGGTGTGAAGGACAGTACGGATTCTGATTTGCTTAATTTGAACATCCACCTGATAATTTAATCCTTCTGCACCTACTGGGTCTCTTCTTTCTTCCCTGATCTCTTCTTCCTTCCCCTTCTTCTTCCTTCCTTTCTTTTTTCATTCACCTTCTTTCCTTCCTCCTTTTTCCTTCTATCCCTCTTTCTTCATTCCATTCCCCTCTTTTTCCTTCCTTTTTTCTTTTCCTTCCTTCCTTCCTTCCTTCCTTCCTTCCTTCCTTCCTTCCTTCCTTCCTTCCTTCCTTCCTTCCTCTTTCCTTTCTTTTTTTTTTTTATCCCAGAGAATCAGGGTTTATGAGTATAGAATCTCAAAACCTCATGAAAACTCCATTTATCTGAAAAGCTTTGCATCTCAACATCATTTTTTTTTGGTTTTTTTGTGCATGTGTAGGTGTGTTTGGGTATACATGTTTGTGCACACTTGCATACTTGTTCTTGTGGAGGTCCGAGGTTGACATCAGGTACCCTTAGGCAGGGTCTTTAATTTGAACCCAGAACTGGCTTATTTGTATAGTCGAGCCATCCCAATGATGCTCTGCCCACCCTCTGAGTGCTAGGATTTCAGGCTAGCCACCAGCCCGCCTCACATTTAAGTGGGTGCTGGAGATCTGAACTTTAGCTGTCATACTTGCAGTCAACCTCCACAGCTCCCTAACTCCATTTATTTTTGCTGTTAGTTTCTTGGCACCCTGTCTATGATGTATATGAAAGTGAAGGACTGTTTCTTCAAAGACATCAAAAAAAAAAGTCAGCATAATCATTATTGCGTTCAT